GAGAGTGTGAGAGAGAGTGTGAGAGAGAGTGTGAGAGAGAGTGTGAGAGAGAGTGTGAGAGAGAGTGTGAGAGAGAGTGTGAGAGAGAGTGTGAGTGTGCTGGTGCTCTCGCTGCTCCTGCCCTTGGCCTCAGGGAAGGTTTTGTCTCCACCACCACAGACTGCAACAAACCATTGGCTAAAACTGAAACTGAAACCTTCCCCAGTGATAAGCTCACTACTTTTCCACTGTGCAAACAGCTGGCCACTTTTGAATCACATCACTTCTATAAATAACAATTTTCAAGGCCTAATTGGTCACTGTGCAAACTCGGGGCAGCTAAAATATGTCCCTTGAGCAGCTCTCAGACAAGCCTCTGGCGTCCCCTGAAGCACTCAGCACATTCTATGTTTAACACAACACAAAGTTGTGGATCATTACACTTTAAAAAAAATTAAAATCCCAGTCTCCTCCACCAGTTAGTGGCTTTATAATGTAATATAAACACTGGACAGTAAAGGGTTTGGATATTTGAGATCCAGCAGATCTCTTCAGGGCTGTGAGAAACCCAATGCAGCTCTTTGGAAACAGATGCTGGTCTCAGAGGATGCTCTCAGAACCCTTCACAAAGCTCTCACAGCCATGCTCAGGGCTCCATTTGATTCCCATGCACAGCTCCAGAAAAACACAGTGTATCAGCTTGTGCTCTTGGGCTCCAGGCTGGCTGATGAGAGGAAAAGCAAACAGCTCTTCTCCTTAGAACAACATCTGCATGTTGCTGTTTGAAACAAATAAGCCTGTTGCTAAAAAGGCCTGGAATGATGTCATGCCAGGCATCGCTTCAGGCAACGCCTCAGGGCTCCTGCAGATTTGAAAGCAACTCAAAAGTTGTGAAAGAAAAAACAAAAACCCAGACCAAAAAAAAAAATCAAACCCAGTTCAAACCACTATCAAGGTTGGGCAGCAGCACCCAGAAGGTTGAGACCAGCAGATTTCCCAGTGCTAAAGGGGATTTTCCCCCCATTCCAGTAGTCTGAAATAACTGCAGGTGAATTCATGGGATCTGTGGGCCAGGCACTAAAGGAGTGAGGCCACACTGCTGAAAGGACTTCTGAGGGAGAGTCCTGCTGGGAGCTGCATCTCACCATCTCCCCTCCCTGCTTCCATTCAGCAGCCTGGCCTGTCAGGTGGGATGTGGCAGAAGGAGCCTCGTTCCCTGGCAGCCCTGGGGCTGTCAGGATCAGCTCTGGCTCAGTGCCACCCACAGGCAAGGAGAAATTCCTTGGCTCAAAGGCAACCTGCTTGCTGTCTGCCTGCCTGGGAAGGAGATCAGCAGTGCAAAGGGCCCAGACAGCTCCAGGGATGACTGGGGTGCAGACAGCAGCTGTGGAGAAGTCCAGAAGATTCTGTTCAGCACTCCAAGAGACAACTGGAACATGGGGAAAGCTCCCCTAAGGACAAATCCTACCACTGAGGCACTCCCTGACCACACCAGCTGGGAGATGTGGATGCAGCAGGTCTTTAGAGAAATCCAAACACAAATTTTAGCCCATCTATGATTTTAGCCCAATCCTGATGTGAGTTGCAAAGTTTGGTTACAGCACACAAGGACATCCACCAAGGCTTTGCATGTTTTTAAATATTGCTCCACTGGGAGGGCACTGAACAGGGCACATCCTACAAGCTGGACATGAATCCCCTGAGCTGCAACACCTCATCAGGAAGAAGGGTGTGCCTCTGGTGACCAAGTGGAAATTCGAGCTTAGCTTTCCCATCAGCTCTTGACAGGGGATTTCTGGAGCAAGTGATGTGCAGGAATTCACAGGGAGCAGCCACTGCCCTGCAGGGACTCCCCAAGCTCTGCACCACAAACACAGGATGGAGCTGCCCACCAGCAGCCTTCTGTTCCCATTTTTTGAGTTTTAATTTCCATTTCTAAATCTTAATCATACAGCAACTCTCCCCACATGCCCCCTGCAGAAGCATATGAGGATCAGAAATATGATGGGAACTTTTTTTGATGCCACCAGCTTCAAGGGAGGGGTGTGTGTATGGAGTTTCACCTCCCCAAATTTAAAGCACAACAGGGAGCCAGAACCCAAGAAATAATTCTCAATTTAGGATTACAGCCTGGTCTTAGAAATCACTTTCACCAAGTGGGCACTCCCACAAGGGGTAAAGCAGCTGCTCATGAGCCAAGAACCATCTGTTTAACACTGTGGAGGAGAGTTAATTGCAGCAACCAAAGAACAACACAGCTGCCAGGTTTGCACCTCAAGTCAAGGTTTGCAAAAAAAAAAAAAAAAACCCAAAAAACCAGAGAAGTTCAGCAGAAGAAATGCACAGGGTTTTGGTTTGAACACATCCTGACAACATTTGGGCTGATATGGACAAGTGAAGGTAAACCTAATAAATACATCTCAGCAGGAGAGAACAGCCTGGGTGTGCAGGATCCCAAATCAGCTTGGGCTAAAAGGCCCTGGCAATGTCATCACTGACAACATGCACAGAAACCAGCTCAGGCTCTCCCAGGGTGCTCTCAGTAGCCTGAAAGGGGACATTTCCTCTGCATTACCTTCAGACAGGCAGCATTAGAGGAGCAAACCAACCTGGTTTTGATTCCACTTTAGATCTGGAACCAGAACAAAGCCATTGGAAGGATCTGGGTTTTCATGGACGATTCGATCAGCCTCAGCTTTCTTCTCCAGGATATTATACACCCACTGCAAGAGAAATGTGTGATTTAGAAGTCAGCAGAGAATTAAAAAAACAACACCTCAGGTGCATTTAGCCCTAGCTCATGGATTACTGCACATTCTCTGCAAGTAGAATTTATAAAAAAACCTGCCAATTTTATTTTAAATGACCAAATAATTTGTAATTAATTAGCCATAAAACACTTCATCAACCAATAAACTCCAGAATATTATGAGCACTTCAGTAAAAAGCAGTGGAACCCAGCTCCTGTGGGGCTCAGCACACACCTCTTGCAGCACCATGGGGCTGTTTACATCTTTTTCACCCCCCAAGCTGCAGCAAAATCTTTACAATCAGGTCTGGGAAGGGAACTTGGCTGATTCTGTTCCTTATTCAAAGAGGAAGGAGCAGAGCTGGATGTGGCTCTGGCTGCTGGCAGCTCTCTGCAGGGATACCAAAGGCCTGTGTGTTTTTTTGGGCAATGCATGTCTCTTGGCTCCCTGGCTGATTAGAAAACAGCTCACCACTCTTCTTCTTCCATACTTAAGGTTCCAGCCTCCAGCCTGCCTGTAATCCCTGCTCTGGTTATCCCCCCGTGCTCCTCCTGCAAGGCAAAGCACCATTCAGAGAAGAGTTATGGAAATGGAAGATACCAGGGATAAGTGACAGAGTAAGACCAGAGAAAAGCATCTTTGCTCTCCCTGGCTCCCAGCCTCAGCTCCAGCATCCTCCTTTACACTTCCAAAATGCATGTTATGCTCTAGCTTAAGCCTGGCTTAAGTACTGGACTGGCAAGAGAGTTCTCAGCCAGGTCCCTGGAAGGTGGTAACAAAAGGCAGCAGGAAATTGCTAAAGCTTGGAAGCTGGAAATGGTTGGAAACATCATTTTCCTCACCAAATATAGGTCTGAAATATTCTGGCTGCCCCAGGTGGGTAGGGAAGGTGCAGCCAGTTTCATAAGTACACCAAATGAGCTGGGCTGGATTTCCCCTCTGACACTTTATGGGAAATCCATCAAGAGTTTCATTAATCTAATAAACACTTAGGATTGCTGCAAACTGACCTGAATATATCTGGAGGGAAAAAAACTACTTCTTGTCCCTTGATCTGGGATTTTTGGCTTAAATTGCTATCTTTTCTCCTTAGCATCATCTTAGAGATTAGATTCTTCAAGTGATTCTCAAAACCACGGCACAAGCTCACTGTGTTCCATAACCCTGGGAGGGAGGTTCAGAGGGAAGCTCAGCAAAAAATTGACATTTGCCTTTTGTTGGGATTTTTAAGCCTGCTCTGATCACAAGTGCCAAGCTATCAGTGCCCTAAATAAGGTCACTGATCAGATGAGCTGAATTTTAAACCCAAGGCTGCCTCGTGATGGGCAGGTCCTTGGCTGGCTGCTCCTGCTGCTCCCAGCACAAGCAGAGCACATGTCCAGGGCCTGGCACCACAATCAAACCATTATCCTGAAAGCATCCACACTTTGTATCTTCCAGCAGGAAACACAGACGCCTCTGTAGTCCCCTGGTATTTGTCATCCCTCACATTTCCTCTTGCACTTGGCAAAACCAGTTGGATAAAGACAAGGAACAGCATTATTAAATCTCAGAGGTCAAGGACTGACCATGATTTCTCAGCAGATGCTCCTGATGGTCACCAGGAACATGTTTCCATGGACTGAAAGCAGCTCACAAGCATTTGGGGCAAAAAGCAGAGTGAGAGCTCAAGCAATTCCTGAAGGCATCAGGAAACAGAATAAATTTGGGATCAAAAGCACAGAGAAAATATTCCATGAAGGCTGTGGCCTGGTAGAAACACACACTTGCCTTTCTCCAGCTAATAAATGCTGCAGTTTAAGGCAGCAGGAAAGATGGGGGAAGGCAGGGGGGAGCATCCAAGGCTCCTGGTTAGTTTTGGGGAGTTATTTTTAATGGAGAGCCTCAGTGGCCCCAGGATTTGGTTTATTCCTCCTTCTGCAAAGGCTGGCATGAATTGATCCCTACAGACTTGTATTGCTTTGGTCTCTAAAGGAGAAAGACAGAGAGATGAACAGTTTAAAAGGATAAAGCCAAGGCAAAAGCTGGGGCTGCCTGGGGCAAGCAGCACACTAAAAGTAACAGTTTCATCACATGGAACATGACTGAGGGGCTGAATGGCAGGAGGAGTGAGCTGTGATGCACAAATCCAAGCACATTCTGTGCCTTTCCATTTCCACAAAAACCCAGAGACTCCCAAGAAGCCCAGTGACAGCACCAATGCCCAGGAAGCCGACCTTGGAAAGGAGAAACAAACCTCAGAGTTCCTCCAGAAACCTTGGGAAAGGCAACCTGAGGTCCAGCCCTAAGGCAAATGTTTTTCTGCAAAGATGGAAAAGGATGTCCCAGCCAACCAAATAAGAGGGAACAGCACCACAGAGCTGACAACACAACCAACAGGAGATGGGGCAGAACACTCCCAGCTCTCCAGCCCAGGCTTCAGAGAAACCTGACAGCAGTGTTTTGACAGAGGAGACCAAAGCCATGTGTGTCTGCAGGAGAGGGCATGGTACCCATACCTGGATGCTGAAGCTCTGGGCCTGGATGAAGGGCAGGGTGATGTTCTTGTAATCCTGCCAGGTCTCACGGATGAGGTGCACTTCCTGCCGCAGATATTTCTGGATGTGTTTCTCCGTGGCAGGGTACACCACTGTGGCTTTGATCTCTAGGAACAAACACAGTCACTGAGTTACCAACCACGCTGCTTCCTTCAGGCCCCAACAAATCTGCTTTCCCTTCCAAAAAATGCCACACAGACATTTTGAAGAGAGGGTGAGGGAGAATGGACGTGGAAAGCAAACAAGTGCTTTAACCTCCTGCACTGCTGCTGCTTTTCTGGAGGAAGAAAGAGCCAAGGGCACAGCCAGGGCCTGTCTTTGCAGTTCAGGTGGAGGAGTTTGCTGAGTTTTTCCACACTGGCTCTTTCACATCTATCAGCAACACTGGGGCAGAGGTGGGAGCTCCCAGGGCAGTGTTTATGTGCAGTCAACAACCAGGACAGAAACACCACCCTGGGGACACAGACACATCTTCTTCATACTTCAATTCAAAGCTCACAGGGCGCACCCAGCAACTTCATCCAGCCACAAACCCAGATGAATTCCAAGGAGTAGCTTCTTCCCAGAGCTCAGTCAGTGCTTGGCCTCAAGCCCCAAGTACAGGAGGCAAAGAAGTCAAGGGCACAGGGACAGATCCAGAGCAAGCAATGTGAGCTGACAGGTCAACACAGCTCAGCATGAGCCAAGGGAAGAGGGTTGAGTGACCCTCTGCCCACAAAAATAATTTCAGTATTTACCTTGGCAAAAAGAAAACATTTTGTGTTTGCCTCAAGATTAGAACTTTGCTGGGTAATTTTTGTGGCATTGAACAGGATGCAAGTGCTCACCTTGTCAACCTGGCAGCTGTGATGCCAGCAGCAGCACATCCTACCCACAGGGCCAAAACACACAGAACACATCCGTCTTTGGCCAAGATTGCATGTGTGATACAGAGTGTGCCACAGCTCCAAGGTGCTCCAAGGGCACAGCAGTGTCCCTGCCTTCCCAGCTGACAAAGCTGCCATGAACTTCAGTGCATGAAGAAGAAAAGCCCCATGAGCCTGAGCAAACCCCAGGCACACCAGACTGAGGCACTGTGAACACTGCAGTCTGTGCCCAGGGTCTGACACAGAAAACCAGGGGCTGCACACACAGCAGGGCACCAAAGCTGTGCTTCGTGCTTAAAGTACGTATACAGGCTAGCTAGACACTGAATATAAGCACCTATTTGTTCCCAGAGCCAGGATTTAGGATGGTTTGAATCTTTTTTAGTTTTCTGCTTTCTGTTTTTTTAAGGTCAGCGCTGCACAATCTGAGAGACTCTGCCTTTTCATTCCATGCCAAACCCAGCTTAATGAAATCCACAGGAAAATGCTGGTAACATGAAATATGAAAATGCAAACCACAAGGGCAGTCTGGTCTGATTCCCACCATACACATGTTCAAACAAGGTTGTTTTCCAGGACTCAATTAGCACTTCTAGCAGGGTGATGTAATACCAAAGAAAAAAAAGACAAGGCTGTAGCTCTCCTCGCTTAAAAAGATCAGCAAAGCACTGGGGAGAAAACAAAAAAGGCAAAAGATAAAATACCACATCCAGCCTCAGGCTGAAACTTTCACAATTTGATTTTATACACCAAAAATAGAGCAAGAACTGCAGCAAAAGCCCCTCGGTGCTGGGTGGTGATAACCACAGTGCGTGGGGGTGCAGGAGACCCATAATGGCTTCCCTGGCACCTCCCCAGCCAGGGGGTGGCTGCTCATGGTGAGGAGAGAGCTCAGGGTGCTTTAAATGAGACATCACAGGACTCCTTAATGTGCAGCTGCAGCTGAGCAGATGTTTGGAAGAGAAGGCAGGGGAAAAGCTGTGGTTCACTTCTGATTATCTCCCTTCTAAAGGTCTCATCAACCCCAAACTGCCCCAGCGATGCTAATTAGCATCAATCACTGCAGCCAGAGAGGCTGTTTGATACCTGCTCAGAGCCTGACAGTCCTTAGGAGCTGCACACAGGATGCCAAGGCACAGCTGAGCCCGGGCTGGGCTGCAGGAAACATCCACAGCAAGACCAGGCTCGCCCCAAACCCTTCCAGCGCTGGCACACGGCCACGCTCCGGTTTCCAAGCCTGCTCCTGGCAGGCTCCACATGCACCGGAGCAGCACGTACACCGTGGGGCACCCAGAGCCTGCCCCAGCCTGGCAATGGGGGTAGGGAACTGCTGCACATGTGATGTGGGTTCCTGAGCTGGCTGAAGCACCAGGGATTGTCTCTGCTCACATCTGACTCCCATCAGGCAGCCCGGTCCTGAACGCCCGCCCGGGGCCACCACAGAGCAGCTGTGGTTTATTCTGGAAGACAGCACTGACCATCAACTAACTGGGGGTTATAAAAAGTCAGGAGGTTTAATTGAAGGAACCTGGATGAGCAGGAGGCAGAGAACAACTACCCAAGCTGGTAACTCTACGACAGGCACTTGAGGGGAATCACCACAGTGCTGGGAAACTGCCCAGGAGAAAAGGAGGCTCAGATTGATCAGGCACACACTTCTCCCCTCTCCTGCTAAAAACAAGAGAGGAAAACACAACCCAAGACAAAGGGAAAATCAGAAAACCGTTTGGGGAACTGAAGGGAAAAAGGGCTGGAGGCAGCTGCTGTCAGGAGGAGAGGATGAAATACAAGCAGAGAGAGCTCCTGCAGGTAGGAAAGGGCACACCGAGCTCACTAACGATGCCTCATCCCCTTCTGTGCCACACTGCCCCCTTCAGTGCCACACTGCCCCCAGGCTCTGCCACTGCCCCCTTCAGTGCCACACTGCCCCCAGGCTCTGCCAAAATCCCACTCCAGCTCAGCACATCAGTGAGGAGAGGCCTCACACTCTCTTCTCCCACCGCACTGCAGCATCAGCACCTACTGCCAGCCTGTTTTAGACAGAGGTAACCCTGCCAGACAGCCAGGAGAAGCACACAGGGCAGGCACAACCCATTTCTCCTTTGGGGCAGGGGTGCTTTTTCCTCTCTTTGCTAGCAGGAAGCAGAGCTTTCGTTTATAAGCTCCCTAATCAACCTCACCATCAGATGCAGGAAGGTGCCAAGGCCAGGGAACAACAGGCAAGTCAACATTTGAGCTCTTGCAGGTTGGTTTTTTTTCCCTCTTTTTTGCTGCACCCAGCTCTGAGTTGTCCTCTCATCAGGAGGGAAGACAGCACCTTGGATGGAGCCCTAACTAAACAGATCATGCCATAAGTAAATATCTAACACACACCCTGCCCCTCTATTTGGTTTTATGGTCACAAGTGCAAGAGGAGTCACACAGGAGCAGTGGATTCCAACCCAGCCCCAGCCAGGTAAGCCCATGGCTTTGTCCCAGACAGCTGCAGCACTCTTAACTGAATGAATTAAAGCTGCAAAGGATAAAGCTTGCAAGAGCTCAGTTTGCAAGGCCAGCACATGCCAGGGCAAGCCAAACATGCTGCCAGGGACTCAGCTAAGGCTGCCAGGAGGACTTGGGGTGCTCAGGGGGTTTTAGCTGCAAAGGGGAAAGTTGCAGTTTACCACCCCTGCAAAACACAGAGCAAAGCACAATGACACCCCCCACCATCCTCCAAACCATGCTCCCACAGCTTCAGGCTCGAGCTTTTTATTTTAAGTGTAAATGCAAGAAGTTTCCTTGGCTGGGCAAACCCCAGAGGCAGCCAAAGCATGGAGACACAGGGAGAAGAGCCAGCCTTCCCACTGCAGCTCCTGCAAGTTTCTCCAGCTCCTCACTGCCCGAAACCAGACTCTTTTTGGGATGTGAATTACTTCCTGCATGACTGAAAACTTTCCTTCCACACTCTCCCATTTTTCCCACAATTTCTCCACCGTTGGAGTTGGAGCAATGGTGCCACAGCTTCTCCCCTTGTGCTTGTTTTAAGATGTTTTTATCTTAAGATAAAAAGATAAGAAGCAGCCAGGGAGCAAAGACTCCTCAGAGGACTGATAAGAGCCCTTAAATCACACCAGCACAGCTTTGGAGAAACACAGTCCCACAGCAGCCAGGCACCACGAGGCTGCTTTTTGCCACAAAGATCAAGGTCTCCGTGGCAAATGGGTGTGAGGAATTAGATGTTATCAGGCAATATGAATATTGAACCATCTGGCTTTTACAATCCAACCTTTGGCAGGGGAAAATGTTTCCCTTCCTGTGAAATCAGCCCTTGCTCTCCCTGCAGGGGAAGGCCAAGGCTGGGGTTCCTCTCACATCTAGGCTTAAGCTGCCTTTTAAATCACAGCAACATCCAGAAAGTGGCCTTTATTTGAAGGCATCTTATTTTAGATGCACATGCCTGCCTTTGGTAGCAGCACAGTCACATCAGCTCTGATGCACTACTCCCCACAAATTCACTAAGTCCCCTCTCCTCACTCCACTGGTTTGGGTTGCCCTTCACACAAACTCTGACTGTCTTGTCTACAAATGTAGTTTTCCATTTTAGCCTTGACACATGCAGTAAAATCAATGACATGAGCAAGACTCATCTGGTGCTGCCTTCACACCAGTGTGCTCCCAGACCTAAAAATCTCATCAGAGTAAAATTCATCTTCCCTGAGTGAAATGTCCCTTCTGAGGTCAGAAGGGAGTCATTTGCTCAAGCAACATGCTTTGGCCTCCCTTTCCTTGTGTCACCAGCCAAACAAGTCATCATTGCTTGGGGTCTGTGCTGGTTTGGCTGCACAGAGCGAGCAGCACCCAACTCTCTTCACAGAATCACCAGGTTGGAAGAGACCTTCAAAATCATCGAGTCCAACCCAGCCCCAACCCCTCAACTGAACCCTGGCCCCCAGTGCCACATCCAGGCTTTGTTAAACACACCCAGGGATGGGGACTCCACCACCTCCCTGGGCAACACATTCCAGAACTTTATCACTCTTTCTGTGAAAAATTTTTTCCTGCTCTCCAACCTGTATTTCCCTTGGTGCAGCTTGAGGCTGTGTGCTCTGGTTGTGTCAGATCCTGGAGAAAGAGACCAACCCCAGGTGAGGGGAAGGAAAGGAGGTCTATCTCTCTTGTAGGGAGTGATGAGGGCACCCCTGAGTCTCCTTTTCTTGAGGCTGGACAACCCCAGCTCCCTCAGTGGTTCCTCACAGGGTTTGTGCTCCCAGCCCTGTGCTCCAGCCCCTCCATGTCCTTCCCAAACTGAGGGCCCAGAGCTGGACACTCAAGGTGAGGCCTCACCAGTGCCAAGTACAGAGGAAGAATGATCTCCCTGCTCCTGCTGGCCAACAGGGAGGTGGGGAAAGAGTGAAGGAAGTCTGCAGCTGAATGAAGAGCCCCAGGTTCCTGGGAGCACAGAGGCAGCTCCTCATGGCATCAGCACGAGTCACTCAGCCACCACTTCCTCTGCCTTGAGCTCTGTCTTACCTCAGAGGCTGAGTGTGGCAGGGTTCAGCTGTGAAATCCCCCAGGTAAATTCCTTCATCACACAACACAGGACTGTTCCAAGAAACTGCTTAATGCCAGAGTCTGGCCTTTTCTACAAAATACTTTACTGCTATCTTCTAACCAAGTGTAAACTTGCAAAGACCAGGAGATAAAACCCTGTAACTCTTGAACCTGCAACTAAGGAGCCAACAGACCCCGAGCAAGGGCTCCCTGGGTCTCCACATTATCACTGGACATCCCAGGTCAGTCAAACCCTGACTGCAGCCTTACAGGCAACTCCTCCTGTTTATGTTTTTAAGCCACATTCCTCATGTCAACTGTACACCATGTCCTTGGGCTGACTCAGCTCCAAAGGGTAAACTCCCTCTCCTCCTGACACACAGGGCTGCTTGCTTGGTGCCAGCCCAGCTGCTCACCAGCAGCTCATGCAATGTGCCCACCAACAGCTATTTGCTGCTAATTGCTTCAAAAGAAGCCTCCTTGCTCTGCACTCCTCAGGGTCCACAGCCCCCTCCTGATCTCCTGCTTGGGGCTGCTCAGCATCCACAACAACCTGAGGGATGCCAAGGACAGGGGTGGGAAGCAAAGATGCACCACTGGGTAATATTACAAATATTGCAAGAAATTACCTTGCAGAGACAGATTTACAAGTCATTAAAAAGACAAAAGCTCAGCAGAAGAAAGCCAGAGGCTTCTTCCCCATTCAAGCATGCAGGAGGGGTTTTGCA